TTACCGTGTTATTAGGTTGCATGCAAGGGTATGTATTTGTTAAAATTGCAGCAACAATATATACATTTTGCCAACACTACTTAGCTATACATAGTTACCTAGACATGTAAAAATAGATAAGCCACCATATTTCCCTTACATTTCAGGCAAGAGACGTTACATGCAAAGTCCCTACAAAGCCAATAATTCACCCCAGCACTGCCAGGGTCCAACCTTGTTGGGAAAGTCAGTGACATTCACATAATAGTGGGTCATATAGCAGGGGGGACAACTTCAAAGAACTTTGAGGTGTTGTTGGTATGCATACAAGTTAGAGCATTTCTCAAAATTGCTGCAACAACATACATCCTTCCATTGCTGCTTAAGCCAATTTTCAATTTTTTTTAAATCTAAAAATTTAAAATAGTTTAAAATGTCTCCAAACAAACATTAAACTGACACGAACAGTGCTCATTGACTTGTTGAAAGCTTCCATCTGTGGTGTTATGTATGGGCGGTTTCTATATACGGTGCCTGAAGGTGTATGCGAAGAGGGTATGCCGGGTCACCGTAAACACACATAGGCTGGCCATCAACAAATGCATGCTCTTCTAGAGCAGTCAACAAGCCTGAATCAACAAGCATGGCAGAATCATGTCTTCTTCCCTCTAAAAATATTATGTAAAAGAAGAATTAATTAAACAAACCTTTTTCAGTCCTATTGTGTTACCCTTTTTGCAAAAGGTGTATGAATATCACGTACAATATTTAATAAATACGATATTTAATAAATACAATATTACAGTAAAATACTATCAAAGTTGATGATATTAAAAACACACACTTTTTGTTGATACGCTACATGATTTTAGCTTCTGGGGGAGTAACGTGGGTGTATGATGTAAACAATAAAACTCATCGCCAGAAATCGTCACCACGCGAATTAATTATACTCGCCCCACGCTACTTCAGTGCGCGCGATATATAACAAAAATAATAGGAAAACATATACAAGGCAACATTTATTCTTCAAATACAGATTTTAGTACGATTTGAACAAATTGTGAACCTCACACATGAATAAGAAACTTATAATCTAAGTTAGAGTCCAAAATTTTGTTGGCAAACTTTAAAAAGTGTATTTACTTCTACAACGTCAAGTTTGTATGCCAGAAACGCGAGACCGGCTAATATAAACCCTATTAATTTGATAAAATATGTCAATTTAATTTCCATATTTAAACGAAATGATAGCGCTAGGAAAAAATGTGAACCTCAGGCAATTAAATTCAATATATTATCTGTATACTCAAAGACTGTTTACCTTGATAATGTTTAAATCGACATTTACTTTTTAAATCCAAAGTTACGCATTTGATAACATAATGGCAATAGCCAGAACCGCATTCGATATATTACCAAAATTCGGACGATGATAATTTGGAAAGTATTTGGTGTAAACGTTTGCCTAGCACATCAAATTAAAGCTTGTAAGCAGTATAATTCAGATCTCGAAGCTTGGAGATCGAATTCAACAAGGCTCGAGCATATTTTAACGCTAAAGAACGCTGCCCTGTAGAAATTTGGCACATCTTTCATCGAGCCCAAGATGAATACGATCAGCGGACTGAACCTTGAGAAATTCCCCGCCGATTGGCGCGAGATTTGACTTATAATATACAAACAAAGAAAACAAATGTCGGAGGAATTGAATATTCATGATTATCTTAAATTCAAGTCAACCTTGACATTTTCATCAGAAAGTTGCCTTTTGTACATCCGTAAGCAGAATAGCAACGAAGTGTTTATTACTTTCTCTATCCCTTATGAAATTTTAATTAAGTGGCACCAAATAAAAGTAGTAAAAAAACTGTTCGTATTGTCATACGTGGATTTGCTTTTCCTTTCGCAAAATCTCCCGTCTTGTACTTTAAATTTAAAAGAGGAGGCTAAGTTACGACTAGAAGCGCGCCTGAGAGAACTGAGTTACTCTGCTGCAAAGGAATGTACTGGAACTAAAGGGGCTACAAGAATAAAGATACTTAAAAAAGTCAAGAAATTAGCTGTATACCAATCTGAAATAGAAGACGCCAGCCAACTTTTGAGTAAAATTAACAGCCTTGAGAAAGAGAAGAAGGAATTACAAGAACAACTTGAAACTCTTGAAGCTCGATGTGACAGTCTTGTGCAGGAGGTTGCAGAATTCAGGCAAACTACCCAGCGAGCAGCTGACCTTGAACAGTCTTATTCTGAAATATCAGACCAAAATGATAAATTAAAAGAATATGTCGATTCTCTTGTAGACAGAGACTCATGTAAACACTGCGACTCAAATTACAGGAACAATGGTCGTACATATAATGAAGTAAGCTACACCCAAAAGCAACGAAAGCTAAAAGTGCTAAAAAGTAATTCCGAAAGAGCCCTCTGGTTTCTTGAGTCATTTGGATTTAAGCTAGATAAGCTATTTCTCAGTGATTGCCAAACTGGGGAAAAAGTGACTCTGCAGTACAATAATGAGAAAAAGTCTGCATATCAATTCCTTTCGGAGGAGGACAAAGACAAGGTCAGGAATGTTGTCTACATTATGGACAAGTTTTGTGTAAGTGATGCTGCATATCATGAATTCAGCATGACAAACAATGATGGTCTTCCCCGCAGCTATTTGATAAAACAATGTAGACAAGATCTCAACAAAGTGTATAGCATTTAAAGAACTCCTGGAGAATGGCCTGGTGCACAGCTGAGTTTTAAGGATGAACTCAACCATCAGCTTTCAAAGCAAGTAAGTTTCCTTATTATCCTGAGCATATATTACATGTTGAAGACTTTACAGAAATTAGTCTGCACCCCACCCCCAGTAAAAACTGTTCCACCGCCACTGCGATTGAGGACATATTTTATGTGAGTCTATCTTACAGTAGTGATTGGCCACCAGGGGTGTAACTAGAAGGGGTGTATTTGGTGAAACACCCCCCCCCCCCGCGCGCAGTTCTCACATAGTCAGCATATTATTGTATGTCAGTCGGAGTGACACAGTCGGAGTGACACTGATTAAAAACTATACTAATTATAGCCCGAGTTTGGGGAAATATACAAAATTGTTAATGCCGGAGATTATAAATAATAATGTCCAGAAAAACCTTTGATGTCAGAATGTCCTTCACCTCTTTAATCAGTCTTTCCCTGCCCCCAGTAGTGGAAATGACTTGGCAAAATTTCACTTACACTCTCCCTTATTCAAATTAGGGCTAGCGATGCCCCTGCTGGCAACTTTTTAAAGCTTTTTCTAACAACACTTTTCTAGATGGAGAAACTTGGAGACAAAATGCTCAATACACAAAGAGTGAAGATAAGTGGGGATGGAGCAAAAATGTCCAGAATTACTAATTTTGTTGTTCTGTCATTTTCGCTATTATCTGAAGGAGAAAAGGTCATGTCGACAAAGGGTAAGTATAGACATGTAAATTATATATATTTGATATTTGAAACTTGGACACACCATTTGTATATATTCATTTGTATATGTTTCAATGAATTATTAAGGTATTCACACAGTTGCAATTCTCAATGGTAAAGAGGACTATGGTGTGCTGCAAACTGCTGGTAAAAATCTTTTCAAGGAAATTAATGATCTGATTGCAACCAGAGAAATAATTGTTGATGGCAAGAAGATCAATCTTGAATTTTACCTTGGAGGGGATTATAAGGTTTATTACCACATAATGATTTAATAGTACATTGAAACACCAGCTACTGTACATGCATGTATTAAATAAAAGATTTCCTTTTCTATGGTAATGTGAAAATTCTCTGCATGACCGATATAACACAGCCTGTACTGTATGGTTAATTAACCATGCATAACAGCTTTAAAAAAATTTTGATTCTTATAATTATTATAACAACATATTTGTATTATATTTTAGTTTCTTCTTACCTTATTGGGGATGAATGCTGCCAATTCAAATTATGCTTGCATATATTGTAAAGTTGCCTCTTCTGAAAGGTACCAGTTTACTGAAGTTTCTCTCTGCATTATGTCTATGCAAGTTGCATAGACATTAAACCTGTACCCATATTCACATAATCAGATGAAATATAATTATATTCTTTTAATATTAGCCTTAAACGTGTGGATTAACTAATCATTAAAGTAATCACATACACCAGGAAGTGAATTGATTTTTGCAGAAATTCCTGGAAGCGATTTGAATTTTACAGAAATTCCTGGAAGTGAATTGAATTTTACAGAAATTCCTGGAAAAATTCAACTATTCCTAGATATACTGTAATCACACAATTAAACTCTTCAACTTATTTTTGTTTGAAATGTTCCTTTTTCAAGATGGGATATGTCGAAAGCAAAAGATTTTTATTGGTCGGATGAAATGGTCAGGACAACTGAAGAAATACAGGAGTGTTCACTGCAAACCGGTGGAGACAAATTTGGCTGTATTCACCCTCCACTAATCAGAATCCCACTATGCAATGTTGTTCCTGATGAATTACATCTAATGCTCAGAATAACAGGTATTATAATTATTAATTGTACTGTATTTTCATGTTTTCATTGGCTAAAAGCCTACAAATAGTTTTAGGTATTTGTAGGTGCCCACACTATTTTCAGTGGAAACAGTAATATGTAGAGGTTATTGGACAGAGCCCATATATTTCAGCGGTGCTTTGTGTGAAAGTACAAATTGGTGTGAAATTTTGTTAAAAGTTATTGAATTAATGAATTGTAATTTTGTTTTAATTTTTGTTTGTTTTATTTGTTACTGTTACAGAATGAATAAGAAGCCAATTGTTAGATTTGGCTTGTACGCAGGATATGCAGAATGATTCAGACCAGGTCAATGTTATCTGCCTCAGCCTTCGGCAGATAACATTAACATCGGTCTGAATAATTCTGGTTACCCTGCTCAAACTCATCCAATAATTGTTAATAATATGCTATATATAAGGAATGCTTGCATGTCATTGATTTTACACACCCTATGATCAATTTAGATGATTTAATATTTCAATTTTCCACATATAAGAATTTTTTATGCTGTGAACAAAATTATGTGTGACAAAGTCTACATTATAAATATCTAATAAAATACACAGTACAGAATATAATTAATTTTATATATTATAGACAAACTTGAAAAAAACCTCATTCATAGTGTTTTAAGAAGAGATAAACTGGCAGAGAGGGGCAATCAAAGGATTGAGAAGAATGTTTATCAGCATAAGCTTCTTCAAGCTATGAAGAAATGTGGGGTCACATTCAGTATATGGAACAAGCCAGATGAGAATGGGAACCTCACTGATAAATATGACTGGACCAGCCTAATGGGGGCTGATAAAAAAACCCTCCTTTACAACCTTCCTGACTCATTTGCAGAATTTGTTTCCCCAGATAACCTTGAAACTGTGACTAAAATTTGGAAGGTAATTATATTAGGTTTAATTAGGTTAGGTTTTAGATTACGAGGAACAATACTAACAATATACCCTCAAGCTGTACAAGCTAAAACTTAAATTATATTCAAATCAAAAGGAATAAAGAGGCTACCTATCTATGAAACAATTACCCTATAATTAGCTTGCTTCTGTGGCTGTATTAGTACAATCACTAAGTTGATCAATTAGAGCAATGTACAGTAATGAAATACAGTCTGTCTACAGAAAGGTGAAAACCAGTGACAAATTTTAGAACTGGACAACTATAGCCACAGTGGCTGTTATATTTTCAGGATTTCCAGGAAGTGTATGGTATTGTGAACTCTTGGAACCCTTCTGAGGAAAACGTTGAACAGTTTTTTTCAAAGGTGAGAATTCAACTTAATTAACCCTTTAAGTGGCAATGCACCCTGATGCACCCTACTTTATTATTTTACTCTGTCTAATGCCATACAATTTTACTTGCCAAGGGGAGAGTGCTGCCGCTCAATGGGTTAATGATAAAATTCTCATTGAAAATTTTTATTCCTACCATCCTTACATATACATGTACTGTTCTATATCTTGTAGGCAACAGAATGGCTAAAGCTTTTTTTAACACTTGGTGGTATTGAAGATGGCTATAAAAAAGCAAATGTCACTCCATATATGCACATCTTGTGCTATCATGTGCCATTCTTTTTGGCTACAAGTGGTGTAAAATGTTTTACTGGACAAGGAGTTGAGAAAGTAAATGATGTCATTCGGAGACTTTACCACCAAAAAAGCAACAAGTATGATGCCTGTACAGATGGACTTCAAGCTGTAAAAAGACTTGATGACCTACAAGACTTTGACCGAAAACCCAGAAGTTACAAGCAACAGGATGCTTCATACTGGAATAGTGGAATAATAGAAGAGAGGCAAAAACGACCACGGCTTAGTGTTACCCCACTGGATGATGATGAGGAGAATGTTGACAACATGAATGAGGCAGAAGTTAAAGCGAAACTAAAAGAGATGGGTGTTAAAACTCGTGTTAAGAATGCAGAAAAACTTAGACAACTTTTAAAGGATGTTATCTTCGCTGCATCCTAATTTATATAGCACAGTCATGCACTTCCATGTTGGAATCTTATGTACAGTTTTAGGAAAACCTTATTTCAGTCTATTATTTGACACAGGGATACCCACAGAATTTGACATTTCATCATTGCACAAGAAAGTTTAGTTAAATTTTCCAACTACCTCTGCAGTAAAGATTCTAGCTCAAGTTGTGAGAAACAAGACTGTTGTCAAATCCTATGGGTATACCTTTATATTAGCAGTGGTGTAGCCAGCCCGACAATTTAGTCCCGCCATGCAAATTCAAAATTATTATCATTATTCGTTTCTTTAGAAATCGATTGTTTTTCTCAGTCAATTAACATGAAAATATTTGCATAGAGGGACTAAATTGTCGGGCCGGCTACACTACTGTGTATTAGCAAAAATTTAAAAATAAATGTTCATTATATATTATTAACATTGCATGCCCTTTTAACAAAATAAATACTAAGTTTCTCACTGTACACAATTGGAGCATTTGTAAGATTTCCATCCTCTCCCACAATGAAATTCTTGGCACCTGACTTGCTGAGAAATGGTCTTACTCGGATTGGGAAATCAACTGCAGTTCCCTCACCGTGACGGTCCATAACATAAAACCAATGAGTTGGTAGGAAGGGAGCAAATCTGTCAAACTCATTTTTTTCCAACAGAAAAGCTCCCCTTCCAATGGCTGTTCCCCTGTCCCGTGTCAAATACCGCCACACATCTAGGTCAAATGGCACATAAATATGAGAATCAACCCCAGATGACTTGATTCCCTGAATAATTCCAGACTGGAAGGCCAAACAACATGTGTCTATTCTTCTGCCATCTGGTTCTGGATGATTGTAACTCCTGGAACACAAAACAGCACTTTACTTAAATAGTAAATATAATGTAAGAGGCCCCAGTCTTGTATAAACTGCTTTGCGATTTTGCAAATAATATAAATAATAAATATATTGTATATAGGCGGACAAGACTGTATCATTTAATCATTTTATATCACCTTAGCAAAGTCTGATTCAAATTTTCCTCTGGTTCCCAGCTGGATTTAAATGTTGGATAACCAATCCATTTCACTAAGTATTCTCTCTAAACAAATTCAAGTTTGTGGAATAGATTAAAAGTCGTACTTGCTTCGTACAGGCAGTTTTCTCAATATTAAATATAAAAAAATCAAACTAATATATTTTGATAAATGTACAAGACAAAACTACAAGTACCTTTGCCTGTCCATTTCGTCTTGCAATGATCCTTTCTGCCTCAAAAAACTTCCCTGTGGCTTTTCTTGTTTGCCGTTTCTTCTTTTCCGCATGAATATTACATAAATTATGTAAAGCAGCATACGAAATAGCTGGCTTCGCCCCTCTCGTTCTTATTTTGTCGGCCATGCTTATTCAGCTTCGCGCTTTTGGGTAATTCAGGGCGCTAGACCGTACTAACTGGAATCACTGCTGACCGTTAACAGTGGGCGCCGGGGTTACGATTTCTGGCCATGTTCCTCACGCTGAGGACAAGGTTTCTCACGCTGAGGACAAGGTTCCTGACGCTGAGGACAAGCGCGGAGGTCGTCGTGCATTCTCGTCACTCAAACTTGTAAGTTATGATATAGTTTTTAACCGACAGGTAGAGAAATGAGAGAACCTAAAGCGTAGATACTGTACCGTGCATTAAACATAGTCTTAATAATAAAAATTATTATTATTATATTATTTCATGAGAATCTAGTTTCTCGATTGCACAAGAGTAAAAACTTCGGAGGCCTTTCGCGACGTTCCTTACGCTGAAGACAAGGTTCCTCACGCTGAGGACAAGGTTCCTCACGCTGAAGACAAGGTTCTTCACGCTGAAGATAAGCTTTCTGACGCTGAGGACAGGGCTCCTGACACTGAGGACAAGATTCGCGACGCTGAGGACAAGCTTCCTGACGCTGAGGACAGGGCTCCTGACGCTGAGGACAAGGTTCCTGACGCTGAGGACAAGGTCCCTTACGCTGAGGACAAGGTTCCTCACGCTGATGACACGCGCGGAGGTCGTCGTGGATTCTCGTCACTCAAACTTGTAAGTTATGATGTAGTTTTTAACTGACATCTAGAGAAATGAGAGAACTTAAAGCGTAGATACTGTACCGTGCATTAAACATAGTCTTACTAATAAAACCTATTATTATTATATTATTTTATGAGAATCTAGTTTTTTCGATTGCACAAGAGTAAAAACTTCGGAGGCCTTTCGCGAGGTTCCTCACGCCGAGGACAAGGTTCCTCACGCTGAGGACAAGGTTCCTCACGCTGAAGACAAGGTTCCTCACGCTGAGGACAATAAGGTACCTGACGATGAGGAAGTTGAGGACAAGGTTCCTGACGCTGAGGACAAGCTTCCTGACGCTGAGGACAGGGCTCCTGACACTGAGTACAAGGTTCCTGACGCTGAGGACAAGGTTCCTGACGCTGATGACACGCGCGGAGGTCGTCGTGCATTCTCGTCACTCAAACTTGTAAGTTATGATGTAGTTTTTAACTGACAGGTAGAGAAATGAGAGAACTTAAAGCGTAGATACTGTACCGTGCATTAAAAAGAGTATTAATAATAAAACCTATTAGTATTATATTATTTCATAAGAATCTAGTTTTTAGATTGCACAAGAGTGAAAACTTCGGAGGCTTTTCGCGAGGTTCCTCACGCTGAGGACAAGGTTTCTCACGCAGGGGAGAAGGTTCCTCACGCTGAGGACAAGGTTCCTCACGCTGAAAACAAGGTTCCTCAAGCTGAGGACAAGGTTCCTCACGCTGAAGACAAGGTTCCTCACGCCGAGGAGAAGGTTCCTGACGCTGAGGACAAGGTTCCTGACGCTGAGGACAGGGCTCCTGACGCTGAGAACAAGGTTTCTGACGCTGACGACAAGGTTCCTGACGCTGAGGACAGGGCTCTTGACACTGAGGACAAAGTTCGTCACGCTGAAGACAAGGTTCCTCACGCTGAAGACAATGTTCCTCACGCTAAGGACAATAAGGTACCTGACGCTGAGGAAGTTGAGGACAAGGTTCCTGACGCTGAGGACAAGCTTCCTGACGCTGAGGAAAGGGCTCCTGACACTGAGGACAAGGTTCCTCACGCTGAGAACAAGGTTCGTTACGCTCAGGACAAGGTTCCTCACGCTGAGGACACGCGCGGAGGTCGTCGTGCATTCTCGTCACTCAAACTTGTAAGTTATGATGTAGTTTTTAACTGACAGGTAGAGAAATGAGAGAACTTAAAGCGTATATACTCT